GAAGAGATCTTAATGTTCGGTTTTTCAGAAACCCTATCTGTTTTATCCACAAATCTTACATTCCTTGGTTTATACTTTGTTCTGAAGTTTTTTTGTTAACTATTATTCATTTTGATTGTCTTTTTAGTTTTTTTTGCAGCTCGAGTTGATGAATTGAGGGTTCACGATTATTCTTGGTTGACCTAAACTGTTCTTGGGGATTTTCTTGGTTACTGGTAGTCAAAACAAACAACTACCCCTCTTGTTTGAGACTGGTTTTCCTTCATTATATTCAATTTGTTCATCCCAATCTTATATGTGATACTTGTTATTGTAAATTGTTGTAATACTTAATAGATCTCCCTGTGCATAATAATAATATACGTGTGTAGTAATTTTTTTTTTTATTTTCGCATGCATTTATTTTGTTCTGTGTGATACATTCATATTATCTCTTCTTTTCTTGCTTCAGGTTCTGATGTCCCAAATTAAGCCTTGACCTGAGGACATGATCTTCACAAAATCCTGGTGAATTTAGGCATTTGGGACTTGATGTATATCACATTGATTATATAGTTACCTCTTGTTATTTTTTTAAAGCTTCTTGATACTTAATATTCTGTCTGACTCTATGTGTTGTCAAACACTATTTGGTATCCACTTGTTTTCTGTCGCACATTGTACTTCAAATAATTTTCTTGTGTTGATTAAGAACTCCAAATGTCAAGTACTAATTTTGAACTTGAGGTTTGCAAAAAATGAAAGGGGTCCTTGTTCAACAGAAAGTCTCAAATGTCGACCTATGTTTGACTTCTTGTTTTTATTATCACAAATAAATTGAGATTATTTCTAACAAATTGTATTCGAGTGTTGATAGAGAATATTGCAAATCAAATTTGAAGAAGGCAAAGTTCGAAACAAAGCGACGATCGACATGAAAGTAAAATCAACGTTGTGAAGATTGCTATTGAAATAAAAGCATAAGTCTAGCATGCAAGACAAGAAAAAGAGCCTTATTGAAGATAATAGTCTTAGACTTTTTAATTTCATATGTAAAGGTAATATGCTTCAATATTGGGCAATAAATCTTAAAAGGCTCAAGTGTCAATTTTATACTCAAGAAAAATTATTTCAACAAAATACTTATGCAAGATATCTTTCAAGATAACGAATTCAATCTTACATTATAAAGTGTCACTTATCTTTAAATTAAGTTAAAGACGTTTTTCAAAGTATTACCTTTGTCAACATCATTGAAGAAAATTTTGATAGGAAATTGTCATAGCGGACGTCCGATAGGATCAACAGTAAAAAAATTTTAACCGTTCTGAAATACAACGGCTAGTGAATCACCCAGTACGATAGCGGACGTCCAGTATGACAGATTTTCTAATAGTTCTACAGCTATAAATACCCTTTCACCTCGCATTCATTCATATACTTTTCTTGAGCAATAAAGTAGGCATTTTTTGATCTTTGCTACCCTATTTCTCAATCTTTAAAAGATCAAATTATTTGATTCTTGAAAAAAAAATTGAGTAATCAAAACTTGCAAATATTTTCTATCTCGATCAAAGTTTTTCAACCAACACTTAAGATACTCTCTTTGCTATTTATTGAAGTATTGAGCCTATTTCTCTTTTGATATTTAATTGAGTTTATATCATTTTTTAAGAGAGAAACTTTCACTTGTAATGTTTTATTTTTATTTTTTTTTATTGTGGGCCGTGTTGAGGTCCTGAAAAGCTCAACATTGTAAAAGAATCGGTGTCCTTTAGTTGTAAGTCACCGGAAGTGTTGTAAGGATTGGATTGTACCATAAGTTAATCAACAATAGTAAAAAAAAGATCTTACTTGTGACGGAGAACTTGGTAATAAGGGACGTAGACCGTTGTTTGGATCAAATCTCCATAACACATCGTTTGAGCCTTTTATTCCCTTTTACTTACTGTTTTACGTGTGTTACCTAGTTTGCATATTATTTATTTGCTAATTGCTTAAATGTGTATTTATTTTCAAAAAAGACTTAGATAACCAATTCACCCCCTCTTATTTAGTTGTTCTTAGGCTTTCAATTGGTATCAGAGCTTGGTATTCACTTTCAAAAGATTTTACAATCTTGAGCAATGGTTAACCAAGTTTTTCAAACTTTCGAGGGACAATCTGCAAACCTACTCACTTTCTTTGATGGCACACACTATAATTATTGGAAGGTTAGAATGATGATATATGTACAATCTATTGATTATAATATTTGGAAAGTTATTATATACGATCCGTATGTTCCTACCAAGACTATTGAATTATATGGTAAACTAGACCAAACTATACCTAAATCTAGGGAAGAATATGATGCAGAAGACGAGAGAAAATTATCTTTAAATGCCAAGGCTAAAAACTTACTTTATAGCAGAGTCGCTGAAATTTGGCACAGTAAGATACTAGCTGGAAGCATAAAAAGTTGGCCTGATCTTAAGAGAGCATTTTTTATTTTTATTTTTATGAAATTTGGGGCTAGCAAGGAGGGAAAAGCGCCCCTACTCAATGCCTCCATGACATGAGCCAATAGGCAAGTGAGATCCTAAAAGGTTTTTTAGCCCTCTTTACTGATGAGATGACTTATTATGAGCAAGTCATGGATAGGAAGGCCTTTTTAGCCATTAGAGGTGCCTTAACATGAATACTCTTTTTGAAGAGATGTGAAAACAACGGCCCCACCAGCTATGACACATTGGTGGAAATGATGAGGCGAGAAATTATCGATGAAGAACTGATTGACCATCATAACAGAGCCGTTATGAGACTCCCATCACCACAAAGACAAATAGAGAGAGGTCTAACCTATCATCCAATAGACCATGAATGGACCTAGGCCATACATGCGGTACTCCTACTTCAGGACAAGTGCTAGCTACCGCCACTCTAAACGCTATACCTTCGTTAGCCTACAAAGAAGTTTGTGCCTAATTACTTGAGGCAACCAGTTCATCAAAGAAGGAGAGGCAGATGACAAAACATGAGCCTAGAAAATAGGTCATATTGTTCTTATCATTGAACATACAGTCATGGAACAAATGAATGCATGCCCATTACATAGAATACGGGTCGAATCAATTCACATAGAAATGAGAGGAGTAATCGCCACCTCCAATGGAGTTTATCCCCACCTAGACAAGTTCAACAACCTAGACGCGTAAAGGCGAGGCTACACCCCAGGTAAATCGTTGCCAAAGTAGGAACAATAAAAGAGAGAGGCATAGGAGTGGGTGACATCGAAGAGATCCCCAAACAAGTATGGATAATCCTCCTATAAAAGAAATAGATACAAACATTGAAAGACCACATGCTGGAGGATATTCTCAAAATGGTCAGAGAAATTATGCCAGGAATGCTAAGGACCTCCCAATGACTAGTTATATAGTCAATAACAATCCTCATAGAGCTAAAATGTGCCACCCATCACATTTACACAAGAGGATGCAATAGGATTTCATTATCCTCATTATGATACTTTGGTAATAAGAGTTGTTGTTGCTCTAGATGGAGTGAAATGAATGTTAGTTGATAATGGGAGCTCTATCAACATCTTAATTGGCACCACATTAAAAATATTACAAATCAAAATTCTATAATTCCAATAATTATAACACAACAATATGATAGAAATACTTTGACCTCTTAGTCCATACTAATAAATGCAAACACTTGCAATTGTAACACATGGTTTATTCTCCCTGTAAAGATAAGAATATAGTACGTAAATTTATTGATTATAGTTATATGATATAAAACAACTAATAAAAAAAATAAATAGAAATGTCAAATACGATAATACCTTCTATAACTATTTGTGAATCATTCAATGATTTTACCTCATTCAAATGTTAACGAATTACTATAAACTAATTTTTTAAGACAAATCACTGTTTCAATAATATTCGCATTCAACGAACTCTTGAAGGAATAAAAAATTCTAGTACTAGTAAGGAATGCAGACTTATAAACAATTAAGAATATATGAATAGCTAACATATCTTTAGCAATTTGTAGGGCAATCTTATATTTATTTGCATTCAATTTCCACTAATTAATATGTCGAAATGTTCATTAGTTAAATCTTCAAAACGGTCAATTAAGTAATCCATCAAAGTATTCTAGCAATTAACAACAAAATCTAGATATTAAGTTAAAATGTAAATAATTAATTGAGTAATCTAACCAGAAAATTGGGAACAAATAAACAACAAATGTTATCCACTAAAACAATTTTGAAGCAGGTTGGTTTTGTCCAAAACCAAAAATTTGATGGATCCACGTAAACATTAGCCAATGATTACATAAAAGTGATTTCAATTTGATTTTGTAGTTTGACAATTTCATTATTCAGCCCTACTCAAATCATATCAATTTCATTAAAAAAATTTAGCTTCTTTTTCACCACGAGATATAAAATAAATTGGAAATTTTCAAAATAGTTTGATTTGAATCTTTTTTGCCCCATAGCTAGTGGATTCATGTTCAAAATTCACTATAGAAATTGTTGAACTCACTATAGAAATTGTTCAATTTTGTCTCAAGAAATCCAAATCAAACTACCTGATGCCCCACCTCTAATTTCTATTTTGAAACAACGAACGTCTTATTCCCAACAATTTGAGGGCATCTGAATCCCTTTTTGCCAATCATTTCTGTTCATTAGTAAATCCACTTATTACATTTTAATGTTCAATGTAGAAACAATTTCAACATGTAATAGGCTAATAGCAATCCGTCTAGGATAGGTAGATATTACCTTCCTCTCGTATCTAGTGGTAAAAAGCGGATATCCAGAGTCAGGACATCTGCCTGTGGAATCGACACGATACTCTTTTTTGGTCGTGCCGAGCCCCCTGTTACGGCTCCACTCTAATGAAATAGTGTACTTTTTATGAATTCTAATGTTCTATGCATTGGGATAAAATGCAAAACCTGCAATATCCTGGAATGTGAAAGCTAAAACTTTTCATATCTTGTCAACATTCTTAACAAATTTCAACATCTTGATTATTTAAATTAACAGGTGTCAATATAACATGAAAATAGTCTATAAGATACAACGTATGTATAGATAAGTTGAAAACTATGCTTTACAACTGCTATGAACATCATCACAATTTCCTATTCACAACTGCGGAAAATTACAAATGCTAAAGAGTTCATTCGCTGTTGATGTTCCATTCTCAAATAATGAGAAATGGAGGATTTAAATGGTCAGATTTTCTTGAACAGCAAGGAAGGATCCAATTATATTACCTCCAACATCAGGAAAAGTTTCACAACCTGGGAGGGAACTCACTTTGCCGTACCTATCAACCTCAACTGGGTACTTCAGAAGGTGTCCTCTCATTTCTGATATTTCATCAGATGCATATTGCTTCCAGTTCGCCTCGCCCATTTGTCTAACTCGCCGAACACACTCTACAGAATCTGGTCGAGTAAAGCAGTCGTCCAAAACTCCAAGATGCTCGGCCCACAGGGACATTCTATAACCATAAATCTAAAAAAATGGATACCGAGATATTCCACAGTCAAATGACAGTATTTAGTTTTGATCTCTAAGTTGCAGATATTTAAGCCGCATCATTTACAAATGTTGCTCAAAAATTACCTGTCCATGTGGGCTCGATTGTTTTCTTGCCCATGTGTGATAGGGTTGATAAGCTCCCATAGCTATCTCTGTGTCTCTAGTACCCTCCATGGAACGTTGATTGATATTTGCAGACCCCAAAATAACATACTCATCATCCACAATCATCCCTTTCGAATGAACATAAATCATGAATCTTCGATTTTTCTGACTGAGTCCCTGAAACAAATACGTTGAAGGGAACTCATGTGTACCTTTTCAATAAAATTACCAAAACTAAGAAGATCGAGGTGTAGGCAACCATAAGAGATTGAAATAAATCCAGAGTTATGAAATTTGCTAGCAATAACTCAAAATAAAAGTCAAACAAATCTCTTACAAGTACCCGATGTCTCGTGATCAGTAGTTTACAACATTTAATAATAAACGAATATTAAGTCATTAATCATATCTTGTGAGCAAAAGTCCTATGAAGGTGGCTTATATAACTCCTTCAAAATGTTAAGCTATTAGAGAGGGGACACATTTACAGATTTATTTATTTTAAAATTCAGTTTTTAACTGCACTCATGGGTAGGCCTTATTCAATTCTTTATCAAAATCCTGATACATACACAATTTTCATAAATGGGTTGCAGAGACCGAATGGACTCTAATTTAGGACTCTACTCTGTGTTTGCTTTAATACCATATTGAATTACCTTATCTAAAAGTTTAAGATCTTAGATAAGGGATGCATTATATACATTTCATCTTGAACGAGGGCATTTATGAAGAGGAGAAAGCCACTTGTACATTCATTCCCATACATCCTTCTTGACGCTCCATTCATTTCAAATTGAAATGGACGGGAAAATGTGTTTTATTTTAAAATTGTCCACTCATACTTCGACATGGCGCAATGTAAAAAATAATGTCAAATTAAGTGTACACATAGCATGATTCTTATGGGGAATATCACCAACAAAAAATAATAAAATAAAATAAAGTTTATATATATTTATATGTAAAAGTGAGATAGAATGAGTACTTGAGGAGTGTTAGCTGCACTTTGACGCTCGGAGGGATAACCTGTGTCAAGAGCCTCACGATTGCCAAGACAGTAGAAGTTCAAGTAATCTTGTGGTGAGTAAGAATTCTCTAGTCCAACCTCCACTAGAGCCTGGTAGATAGTCTCATACATCATTTGCATTGTTTTATGCTGGAATAAGAGTTCAAAAGGCTACGTCAATTAAATGTAAAAATAAGAAATATAAAAGCACTACACTGGTTAACAGATAGCTAATTATTGATAAACATGTAATAATGAATTCATTCCAAATATGAAAATTAAGCTCCTGTTTGGGCTCCATTATTCCAAACCCCTTTTCAACTACATATTCTCCCTTCTTTTTTTTTTTTTGATGACCATGAATGTCTGAGCCAGCTCACGCGCACCTCGACTAATCTCACGAGATCCTGAAATTTACAGTCAGGTACTCACCTCAGTGGCCCTGAGAAGACTCGAATTGGTGACCATTCGGGAGCAAACCAAAGTCTAACCACTAAGCTATCCTTCAGGGTTAACTACACATTCTCCCATAAAATAATATTACATGTAAATCCAAAACTTTTCCTTATTTTTAACCACATTCTCCAAAAATCACTATTCCAAAATACATTTTCCCAAAAAACTCATTTTAATGGAGTCTAAACGTAGGCTAAAACCACTCCAACAGAACCTTTATCTTCTGCTTGCTGACATTTGCCAACAATCAATTCATTCCAAATATGAAAATTAAGCTCCTGTTTGGGCTCCATTATTCCAAACCCCTTTTCAACTACATATTCTCCCTTTTTTTTTTTTTTTGATGACCATGAATGTCTGGGCCAGCTCACGCGCACCTCGACTAATCTCACGAGGTCCTGAAATTTACAGTCAGGTACTCACCTCAGTGGCCCTGAGAAGACTCGAATTGGTGACCATTCGGGAGCAAACCAAAGTCTAACCACTAAGCTATCCTTCAGGGTTAACTACACATTCTCCCATAAAATAATACTACATGTAAATCCAAAACTTTTCCTTATTTTTAACCACATTCTCCAAAAATCACCATTCCAAAATACATTTTCCCCAAAAACTCATTTTAATGGAGTCTAAACGTAGGCTAAAACCACTCCAACAGAACCTTTATCTTCTGCTTGCTGACATTTGCCAATAAGTACAAAAAGTAAATGGAAAATGTAAGTGTAAACTTGGGAATACACACCTGCCAAAACAAAATCCTTTGAGTAGCAGCACCTGTCGGATTACCCTCTGGCCACATTGGAATGACAATATATGCTGCAAACCTCTCATGCACCCTTATTTTGCTGGCAATCTTGAGGGCAATTTCTATCGGAATCAAATTATTTGCACCTGCAAAGTAGAATATGCTTCTAAATTTTTCACATCAGAAGAAGACTTGAAACTAACAGGACAAAAAGCAGTATATTAAGTGGGCAGTCAAATTGTCACCTGAGAAAACTAAAATATGACAAGGTAGTAATATACTTTTGCACGAAACTTATTTGCATGTATTGTTCAATATATGTGATACCATTGAAAAAGTGTTGTACCTTTTCGAACTTGGCAGCTGTTAAATCTTTTTTATTTATTTTGTGGGCCATTGAATCTTGTATACCATTCCTGAGGTATGTTTCTAGTGCTTGTTGCATGTATCAATGTGAACAAATCCATGGTCCAGCAGGTAATGAATCTTTTCAAAATGGGCAACGAACAAATAGTGCTTGTGCATGGAAAAAGTGCAACTTTAGAAAAAAATATATCAAATTGTGCATCAGTTTATTCTTCTTGACATCCATCTCAAGCGGTTTGTGCGAGTCTTCAATTGCCATGTAACAAATGAAAAGAAAATTGCAAACCAGTAAAATTCACTTCTCATGACATGCTGACGGATGGTGGGGTGAGGGGGCTAGAAGACTCAATCTTCATAATCATGTGAGCTTAAGCGGACGAATAGCTTCAAGCAGGCAGACTGGCAAGCTATAGCCATTTATACTTCAGAAAAAAATTGGCTGACAAAGTATATAACATAGGCCTCCAAATATTTTGGAATAGAATACAAACTGCAAAGAAGAACAGTTCCTTACCGACATCCTTATTTGTACTCCAGTTGTACGAGGATCCGATGAAGTATTGATTTTCAATATAAATAAAATGTTGAGCAGCACGAATGGCCTCTACATACGCTGTGTGTATGCTCATATCTATAAGTACGTTCTTCCCACATACTAGGTTCTGTTACAAACACACGATTTAATGCTTATGGAAGAAAATTTGCAAACCCAGAAAAAACCTTATGATATTTATTATAGTTCACCCTCATTGTAGCTTCTTTAGGATCCTTTGGGAAGCCTCTGACGGAGTTTGAATCAATCGAACGAAAAACCTGGATAAGATAAATAGAAGAACAGTGATCAGAAAACTTCATCACATAAATCAAGTGAAACCTCATTTTTCACAGTTCTTTGATACTGATTCACCTGAACATGCCAACTTTGAGGATCATCATCACTAACAAAAGGAGCATCAGTTAGCCCCAGTACATCGGGTATCCTTTCCAGTCGGAGCAAAGCATCATCATATGACATCTTCAATTTTTTTATTCCCTGAGGTTTTGCAGCTTTTAACCAACGTTCCTCGAAATTAGTCAGAACGTCATATGCTGCTGGACCATCAATTTTACAGTGCAAGTCATGCCATGCTTCTCTTGGGCAACCTGTAACACTACCCTGTTCAGGGAGTAATATGAATCAACATATAAGCAAAGGTATCAAAGTAATGCCGCTTCATTTTCTTATTAACAGAGAATTATGGTTTCATTAGATTGTGTGTTCCTTTCACTATTCAGAGCATCCACAATGACATAATTGGCAAACCGAAGTAGTTAAAGCTTCACATATCGCTTTATGATCTTATGAACAAATCTAAAATTTATAAGGGCATGGCCTTGGCCGATTATTTTGCCTTCCTTTTGCACTGAATAGGGAATCGGTAAAGTTTTGGATTGCTATAACTGCTAAAAAAGAAGAACAAAGTTGGACAGAGGAACTGAATCCCCTCCATTGGCAAAGAAAAGGAAAGCTAAAAAAAATAGTAATTGAGTAAAGTTCAAGCTCAGGCCACTTGAATCCTTGATTTCTTATGAGCCATTGAACCCTAAGCTATAGGAGGTGCGGGGGGTGGGGGGGGGGGGGTGTTATCATCTCTGTTGTTATGGACATTCGGTAATGGGAGAAGGTAAAATGAAGCTGATAATTTTGAGATGCTCTAGGCAATTAAAACTTTGGTACTTTACCACATTAATACATCTCAAACAATCTCATATTGCTTTAACTTGATTGATAAAATATATAGTGCATCAACATTTCAACACGTACAGCAGCAAAATTTATTTAAGGTAAAAGAATTACTGCAAAAGTGGGGGGGGGGGGGGGGGGGGGGGGGGGGGGGGGGGTGTTATCATCTCTGTTGTTATGGACATTCGGTAATGGGAGAAGGTAAAATGAAGCTGATAATTTTGAGATGCTCTAGGCAATTAAAACTTTGGTACTTTACCACATTAATACATCTCAAACAATCTCATATTGCTTTAACTTGATTGATAAAATATATAGTGCATCAACATTTCAACACGTACAGCAGCAAAATTTATTTAAGGTAAAAGAATTACTGCAAAAGTGGGGTTATGATAGTCATCAGCATGCCAAGTTTGCAGAGTCCTAAATATATTATGCTGAGGAGTATCATATCGCCCGTTACACAAGTCCAGTCCTCCAAGAAATGCAGTGATTCTTCTTCGATTATTTCCAGCATCAGCATCCACTATCACAGTCTTCTGATGATGGGTATAAATTACTCCAACTTCCTGATCAAGAATGTGGAACTTTATTATTAACTTCGGAATTTGAAGGTTAAAACAATAAAGTATCAAACGATAGTATAAAGGCAAACTTCCACTGCAGTTTGAAAGTTGGACTGTCAAGCTTTTCAGTTCTATTTGCAAGAGAAATTTACTTATCATTGATATTTGCAACGGGATTTTCAATGTAATTTGTTACTCCTTGCCAATGCAAAGGGCAAGTTAAAAGCATCTTAGGGTAATAAAAGAAAAAAATTAATTAAAAATGCAAAATACAGAGCATAACCAAATCTAAGTTCTTTAGGTTAAAAAACAGATCAAAGAACGATTATAGATTGGAATATTTCTCTCTTCGTCACAACTATATATGAAGTGAATGCTTCATCGGTTCGCAACGACCTTCAAACTACGAAGATCATAGCTATAGAAATTTAAGAATTTAATGCAAACTAAAAATAAGCAATATATATAAAAACAAACTCATTCCAACCACTAGCATAACAGTTACAAAGATGAAAATAAAAAACCTTGACAATGAAATGCTAAAATAGTATGAGTAAGAAATATCCATAAACTCACAACTCAAATATAACACGGGAAAAAAAATAAAAAATAAAATAAAATTATCTTCTAAATGCGAAGTTGATTAAAATTTAGAAATCACCTGAGGAATTAGTGTGGAACCATGTAAGCACTGATTTTTATTTTTATTTTGTTCTTGTTGATTCTTGTTTCCAGACTCTAATAGTAGAAGTTTCGCTCCACAAAATAGAACTTTTTTTGGGTTTGATGGCTTCATGCAGATGAGTGCATAATCTATTATCCCTTTCCCACAATACTACAGGGGCAGGCTAAACAGTTCTCCATGAAATAGAGTATTTGCTCACAAGACCAAAATCCTATTAGTAATATCTTTTGCTGCTATAGATGAGCTTCCAATAAGGAAAGCTAAATCCCATCATAGACGATCTCTGAACAAGAAAAGGTCAATCCCATCCAACTGATTTTACATGACAAATAATCTTGTTTGCCCGCCTTCACCCCTTTCTCTTAGTTATATCCCTTTTGAAAGGAAGTAGATTTTCTTCGTCAGTTAAATGTTGGAACATGATCATTTGGTTATGCATACTACAAGATGCTGTCATGTAAGGAAGATAGAGGTTCTATCAAAGTGAGATTTCATCAAGTAGCGATAGTATGACAAATTCTTGAAGGAAATAGAAATCATCGTCCATCAGCGGCAGTTCAATATAAATATGCATCAATTATGCCAGAGACAAAGAGGAAGAACCTATCCTATGTTGGACCTGTTAGTCCATATCACAGTTCAAGTGCTAAATTTTTTGCAGAATCCAGAATTTCATAGTAATGACAACATGTATAAACTTTGTAAGCTTGTTGACGTAGATGACTGGAAAAAAAAAATTGTAAGAAGGAAAATATTATTTATCTTTGACGTACCCTCTGCTTCATCCAACTGTGACGCTTCCCTGCCACACGAGGACAAAGCAGCACTTGCACCGAAGAGTGTTTAAAGAAACGGCGAGTTTCTTCATCATGAGTTTGCATGACTCCATCCTGAATAGGTCAAGTTTGTGATACAATAATAGGAGATTATTAGAAATAAGAATATCATTTTGCAAATTTTAGAAGGAAAACAATTAATCAAGAAAAAATAGTTTCAACTGCATAATAACAGAAACCTGAGGTCTCTAGAACAGAAGCATTCTATCAATTTAGCTAAATGGAGGAAATTGAATATTGAAATACGCCATAGTTCTTAAAATATAGAGGGAAAGTTGCGAGAGCTCTTTCTCTTCCTCTCTCTAAACGAATAAATCACCTGGAAGGTCTTATTATGATTTCGATAGTTTTAACTGAAGTTTATAATCTATTGGAGCAAACATTAAACTTGTCTTCTAAACTATTTGACTTTGAAAGAAAGATGGCTTCAAAGCTTTCTCTATACTCGCACAAACTATAATTAAATGTATCACATCTTAAAATAATATTTAACTTAACACATCTTCATGATTTGTGCTTTACATCCAGAGGTGGAACGTGAAGAAGGTACCATGTCCATAGTCTGCAGTGATATTTTATGAGTATAGGCAAAAGTTCTTTCACTCGAGCATTGTATGTAGGATTCTTGCGACAATAAAACACAAACTCAATCATTTGGAGTTATATTGACAAACTTTGATAAACAGATACATTATCCAATGACAGTCTCAAATGATATAAGAACTTACAGTTTTGTAGCCCAGTATGCTTCCTGACGTAGGGTCATCCCATACAAGCAGCAGAACTCTCACTCCTTCCTGTGACTTTGATCTCAGAAGCTCCCCCAGAGTGATACTTGACATGGAATTATCATCCCTAATCAGTCTAACTTTGTGCCACACTGACCACCCAGTAATATAAATCAAACGGCGGGCTTGACGTATAGCATCAAAGATGTCACGCCAGCATTTTCCATGCACATATTGCATCCCATTTTCAAGTTTTAGAACTGGGAGACATCCATCAGGAACGTGAGCATCTTGATAAAGAGTGACCATTCCACCTCTCCTAAGTGGAAAGTATGTCCCAGGAACTCCAAGATAATCAGGACCAGCTCCAATTCCATGATGGTAGTTGCTTAAATGCTCTATTGGGGTGTACTGAATAGAGATATACAAAGCAGCTCCAGCCTTGCAGGGCTTTCCACTTGCATTGAGGATTGGGAAGAACCCCTCAATTTTTGCTCCACTATATAAATGCTCCACCGGAACCGTCACTGTCCCTATGAGTTGTGATCCCACAACATCATTATCTTTCACTACAAAGTGAACTTCGGCAGCATAATGAGCAACTGGAAGATTAAAATGTTGCGTCCAAACAGGATTCTCATCATTGCTTATCACATAAGTCCTTCCAATTGTAGCACCTGTTACTGTGATGGAGACATAGGGATCACTTGTAATCTTACTGTTGTTGAATATATCTCCTATAGTTTTATGGAACATATCCATGTTAGGAAGATTTCTCGCTTCATATACCCAAATATCCAAATTTCCATGCAAGAGCAAAACTTTCAAAGATACTTTAGGAGATGGAGTTGCCATAAGCTGCATATTTTGAGCATGTGATGTCTCGACATGAGTGGTTGAATGCGATGAGGCAGGAACAGAAGGTTGCTCCATCTGACCTGAAGAAGATGTCTCCCATCGAGAAAAGGAATCAGGATGTCCATATATAGCCCCCATACCATTATACTTATTAGTCATTGGCAGGGGTCCAGAGTGATATTTAGGAGGGGAACTAGGCAACGAGGCTGATGGGGCGGGAGGCGAGGCAGGGGCCGAAGGCTTAACGTGACTATCAGACAAATGAACATTTTCCATGAGATCATCGATAGACGGATAAATTGAAGGGCGAGTCATAGAACCGTCATTGACGTGATCATAATTTCCCATAGGATCACTCACAGAAGATGAACTATCTTGGTAGTGGTAGTGACTAGAGTACTCACCACTAACTCTAGGTGGTACATTGGGTCGATTATCTGGAGGCTGCAATGGCCCGGAGTTTTGATGTTGGAGATAATGGGAAGAACCATAATGGAAACTACCATATGATTGAAGGGTTGACTGAGGTGGGGTTGACGTTGGTGGAGGAGGTGGATATCCATGAAACTGGTGAGTGATGGGGGTAGAATGTGAGGATGGGGGGTAACTATAATCTAAAGGTCCAGACACAGGAGGCGCAGATGGTGGCGGTGGACCTGGATACGGATAATTTAAAGGGCCGGAACCTGAAGTGTTGAAAAAGGGTGGGGGCGGATAATGAGAATACTGTGGATAAGGATATGGGACAGAGCCCGGAGTAGGATGACCGGGGTATGGACCGGAACTAGGACCTGGGTTTTGTTGATTTGGAGGGGGTGGAACATGAGGGTAGTTATAGGTGTCATATTGATATGGAGGCGGGGAATGGTAATTGTTGTTATCCATCAACACATACAAATCTTCTTAACTTCTGACTGTTTGCTACAAGGATAAATATTACAATTGAATCACACAAATCTCATGAGATTGCAAAAATATCAACTTGGGCTCCGCATTAGATCCAACAAAGATCAAGACTCAACTGCATCACAATACAAATGAACAAACGATTCAGATACTGGCAAAGACAATAAAAAAGCAATTTCCAATGGGATTCTGATTAACAAGACGAAAAATCTTTACAGATTATGCAAAAAGATCAAATGGGTTCTTGCTTATTCTTTCAATACTCGAGGATATGCTTCATATAATACTTGTTGAGCTTAATATCTGGTAAATTTGATCAAGATTGCACCTTTAAATGGGGTTTTCCACCATAAACAATCACAGAATATATAGATCGAATGAGGAAATAGAAATTATGTAAATAACAGGTAAATAGTGAAGCGTTACATACCCAAATTTTCTTTTCGAAATTTCTCTGAAGAAGACAACCTAATACAGCTATTTCCAGGTTTCAGAATGTTGTTCGTATGCTTCGGAGACCCATACGTTGGACAAGATCAAACGGTTACCAGCTGACTGCTTGGTTCATCATGATTACGTGGAGCCACCTGATTGGCTATTGGTAGCGGAAAGGCAAAGGGCACTTGCTTTGGTTTTTCTACGCGTATTTTTGCCTAGGTTTTGAAACTGGATGGCAAGAAATAGAAATGATGCCAAATTATGTCAAAACGATTGCATCATTGATACGCACAATATTTTAGTCGAATAAAGCCAATTTCAATATAGTAGATATTGAACTCGAGAATTTGTCAATTCAAGGCGTTGTAATTATGGAAGCATGTTTTGAATGCATTTATAAACGATTCAAATTAGAAATTAATAAGAAATATGTCATGAATATGTCGATAATAATTGTGAATAACTCAAAATGTATAAATAAAATATGTCTAAAATATTTATAAATAATTTATCGATTTTGCTAGTGGTATATCGACGTGTACCTAATGGTGTACACCTCATTCATATGGACGAAGGACTCATTCGAATAAAATATCATTTCTTTCACATGGATCCCACACCCATGTGAGTGGGGGTGTACACCATTCGATACACCCCATTATGTACCACTAAACAAATTCATAATTTATAGATATGAGTCAAATATATGCTTAATCATAAATAACTGATGATGGCCCCAGTACTTGAGAATTTTTTTAATATAATACATTGGTGAAACCTTAATTTTCTTAGTATAAAACCACATAAAAAAATAAATAAAATAAAAAATAGATAACATAATAAATATATAAAAATATAAAGTCCCTATTTGGTTGGGAATTAAAATTAAGATATTAATTTAAGTTAAAATCAACAATTAATCTTAATCATATATTTTATATGATTTCTAATTTGTTAATCATATATTTAATTAATTTTTATTAAACTTTATTAAAACTCTTATTTTAATACCTACCTAAAAATCACAAATTGAAATAGCAATTAATTATAATTGTTAAGGGAAAACAATAAGCTCCTGTGTAAACTTAACAAGAGGTATTACAGAGGTCCCGTTTCTTTCTCATTCTTTGGCTACAAAAATGAAAAATATGATCGTAATTCATCATATCAAGCCATTATATTTGACTTCTCTCTTGTGTGAGTCCGTAACGACTATATTTTTCATTCTCATTCTTATAAGAATGGTATCAAATGGGGGCATAAATTGATATGCTTATTGAGATGAAATTCAAAAATGTTAATTGAATGTGTTGTGGGTTGAGAAAAACCACAGAGACCTGAAATCTGTTAGAAGAGAAAGAGGCAAGTAATGAAATCGATTTGATTGGATAAGTAAATGTGTAATTTTGCTTTGATTAGTAGAGATGACAATATAAATTGAATTGATTTGAGGAAATGATTTGTTACCTTTTATTATCAAATTTCAACAAAAAGGATAAGCGATAACTTCTCTGCATCTGTGACCAAATTGGGAAACGTTAGACATAATGGGACATATTATCGAATAAGTGATAATAAATTCATCTTTGACTCGAATAATTCTATTATTACATCAGGAGGCAGCATTCGATTTAGTTCCTATCTAGTACATAGTCATAAGAGTGGAAAAAGCTTAAATATTTCTAAATAGTAACGAATTAGTCATATCATTACATTATATGTAATTTTGTGAATTATTTGACCAATTACATGATTATTATGAAATTGTATCATATTATGATATTCGTGGAATTATCAAGATTGTATATTGATTAATTGGGAAAATGGAAAGTGAAACCTTAAATATTGAAGTCGACCATAAAAGTATTTATGATTATATTTCTTCTAGTGCATTGAGAAGTCTTGGCCATGTAAGATAGTGCACTAAGAGATCTCAACCATGTAAATAATTCAATGAGGGGTCATGATCGTATATTAAAATTGATTATTAGACGTCTTGAGACCCTCTTTCGTAACTTGAGAGGGCCTTAGGCTCATGCTCAGGGTGCTTAGCTTGAATGGCAGTCTACGCTCGTATGATTAGATTATATATTTTAATTAGAGAGTACATTTATGGTGAGATTTTTCAGTAAATTGTAATGTGATGATTAAGTAAATTGTTAAGTTCCAGAAACGGAGTAAAGACCCGACGAGAGTGGGAGGAACAATCCGGACGGAGGGCATGCGCGGGGGCAAGAAACCGCGCGGCGCGTCGGTCGATTGGCCTAGGCATAAGACGCACGCTGCAACGTAGTGCCCGCAACTTCCCAACGTCCGATCGGGAGGCACGAAATTGTTCGGAAACGAGACCGTCGTGAGGCACAACGATGCAGGACGGAGGACATGCGTGGGGACGAAACCGCGCGGCGTGTCGGTCGATTGGCCTGGGCATAAGACGCACGCTGCAACGTAGTTTTGAGACCCACTTTCGTAACTTGAGAGGGTCTTAGGCTCATGTTCGGGGTGCTTAGCTTGAAAGGCAGTCTACGGTGGTATGATTAGATTATATGTTTTAATTAGAGAGTACATTTATGGTGAGATTTTTCAGTAAATTGTAATGTGATGATTATGTAAATTGTTAAGTGGTGTGAATTCAATTGTCGTTAAATATGTATAAAAGAGAACGTATGATTACTTTCGAAAGTCTTCATCCATTGAGCCTATCAACTCATAATTTTTTCATGAAATTTTCTTATCAACTATCAGTTGAGTATTTGAACGACTTTTTGGAAGGGAGCCTTTTGATTTTAGAGTCGAATATGACATAACTTTTTTATTTTATGACTCATGAATCTCAGAGCATGTGGTCATTAATTTTGAGACACATGTTCATTTTTTTAATGTAACTTTTGCTTCATCGCCTGTAGATAACTAGGTGTGCATACTTTGTATTTTACATCCATATGTATAGTTTATGTTTTTTAAATAGAAAAAGTAAAAAAGCATGTTTTGTCTATATAGCTTTGTTTTGTTGTGAATATTATTATTGGATTAAGTTGCATTTCATTATATGTTGGTTAGTTCAAATTAAATGGGAGATAATGTCAAAACTTTCCTAAAAATAGGTCATAATAAGTTGCATGTTTTAATAGCTTTAATGATAGGTCTGATTTCTAGTTGGTATTCGTCATTGGTGCACGTCACATTCCAAGTCCACTAGTATTCTTCGGGATGGATCGTGTCAATTTTTGTCGATGAGAATGCAATTTCTTTTAGCTAAACTAAATGTTATTTAAAAAAATAAAAAATTTAATTGAAGAATAATATTTCAGTCCCACTAGGACTTAGTACCAGTGTAGTTGTCCATTAAGTTCCCTAATTTGTTGAACATCTCAAATGAAGAGATATAAATCATTATTTAAGATGTCTAACCAATTAATTAGGGCCGGAGAAAACTCTTGAACCGAACTGATATTTGACATGAGAACTGACGGGTTTGGTTCAATCGGTTCTAAATCAAGAATGAAGAACCGAATCTCCCTATTTTTTTAATTAATTTATTTTAAATAAGTCAAATTATTTTATTTTTTATAAATAAATTTGCTAGCTAATTAATTTAGCTCAAACCTAAAAATATGATTTTCATATTTCTAATTTTGAGTTCAAAGTTAATTTAATCAAATTGACCTAAGTTTTATCCAAATCTGCTATTTTATCGTAGTGCTGTTTCTACCATTTTGAAGAAATCGAATTGAAACTCAACAACGTCTTTTTAATTATTGTGAGTTCACTATCTTCCATGATTTTAACAATCAAATCTATGAAAAATTCACCAAAGAGAGACGCAAAAGAAACATAAGATTAGATTACGTTATTTTGTAAGAATTAAGATTGAACATATCATTAGTTGAATTAATATAACTTTATAAATATTAAAAATTTTAATTATAATACGGAACTTGGGAACTGAACCGAACAGAATTGAACCAAATGGAACCGAACACGAACGGTTTCATAATTAAATTTGGACACAACGGTTCCATTTACTAAATACTCGAAAATTTTAGGTTCGATTTGGTTGTCGTTAGAATCGAATCGAACCGGACCATGTTCAGCCCTACAATTAATTAACATCTAAGTTGATGCTAAGCACCAGTAAAATTATATAGCATTACTCTAAATTAATACCGTAATTTAGCCCTTGTTTGAGCCCATTTTGAGGGAAAGAATGCATTTTGAATAATATATTGATGAAAAACACGTGGTTAAAAATTTAAGAAAAATTTGGATTTGCGTGTAATATTATTTTATTGAAAAATGTGTGATTGAAATTGAGTTTTGGAAAAATGAATTTTTAAAAGAATGGAGCTCAAACAAAGCTTCATCGTAATGGGGAAATATATAGCAATACAATTGCAATCATAAACCAATATTTATGAGTCTCATTGTTAGAGAGTTACGACTATGAATAACAAATTATCGAGACGATTTAAAGTGAATTAGTAAAATATAACAGGCTTTCGTTTTCAATATCCATGTATAAATTTTCTTCTTGATCTCTTCCCTTTTCAATATGAACCACATGGTTAAAAATTTGTTTTCAACTAAAAAAAAAAAAAAAAAAAACACACACACACACTCTTGTAGGTTGTATCGCTTCTAGGTAGGCCGTGTAACAACTCGATTACACATCTACCCAATGCAAATGAAAAAGAAAAACATAACTATCAAAATGTAGAGAAGGTAAGATACCTATCAAATAGAAAGAAAACCTGTCTGAATTAAACTAGTATATTTATATGGTGGAGGGCGACGTTTATAGATGTTGATATGAGTAAAGTTAAACTTATATGTATTCATAATCTCAATAATTGTTAGTCACTTCAAAATAGGCTATTATTAACTTGTCTACTTCAAACTTAAGAATCGCCAATGGAATTAAATGTGCAAAAGAGAAGTTGATTAGTGAGGAGTAACATCATGGAGAAAATCTAGAGGCCCAATATTGAGATGCACACTATTTCTAAGAAAATTATATATCAAGCTATTCGAGTCATGATTTGAACGCATTTTATGAGTCTCAATTTGAATTTTTCGACAGATAACCGGACTACCAAGTTATCAACCAATTTTCACTTGAGCAAAAATTTATCCACTCGAGCGAGTGAAATATAAGACAAAGAGACCTGCAATTAATAATATTTTACTTGAGTGAAAATACCTTCGGTCAAACGAATGTTTGAGAAATGAT